CTAAATAGTTTGTGTTAAATTTAAGTTTGTCTAGGAGTCCCACCAAAGTAATAGAGTATTAAATAGGAGAGAGAGTAGAGTGCGCTGGTATTCTACAACCTTTTATTTATGAAATGAAAGCATATTTATAGACAAAGGTGCACAATATGTTAAGTTACATTTATACCCCTGCTAATGTGAGAGTTGTATGGTTTATTATAGATAATTCAGTCTTGTGGGTTCAGGGCTTTACTACTCTGGAGCTTGGTCGACTGGTCCTAGTGAAACTTCAACGAGCTTTAACGATTGACTAGATATTTCGAGTAGTCGTACGAGCCGGAAGGATGTGATATTGAAGTCTTAGTGGATATTCAACTTGGGAGCAAAATGAGTTGATTTATGCTACCAATTGGCTAAATTAGTAGATGTTGTCGATCAATTTAGTTGGCCTTCAACCGGTTGGAAATCAGTGGGAATGATTATTGGCATCCATTTTTTATGCCATACACACTATGCATCCTTCTGAGAGATATGGGAGCATATTGCGTTCCTGCGTAGCATCCTGCCTCTCAAGAAGTCCGTAGAGCCTTGAACGAGCACGTCTAATACCAGATTAAGGGTTCTTCCCATTCTGGTTATGCCCGGAAACATCTATCATTGGTCTACATCTGCGTCGGCCCCTAATATAAGGCGAGCCTGACGACCATCATAGTGCCTGGGAATCATGCTTTAGCATTCACAACACTCACATTGCCATTGATAGCTTGTCAAAAGGTAGGTATGAAATAACATATATTAGTGAATATTTTATAATTATTTAAATTTCTTTGTGGTTTTAAATTTTTGGCTCATAAGCTAAAATTTCAAAAAAATAACTGTTGTTTTATTCATATGTTAAACAATTAAATATTAATTAATTTTTAAATTTACACTAAAATTATAAATTTATAATTTTGAATATAAATATTAGGCATATGTATCACTTTTTTTTGGGCAATTAAATACAAACCACCTAAAACTTCGTATTTACAAATCAACCATCAATTTTCATATTTTCACTCAAAATTCATCGTAAAAACCCAACTCCTATTTTCATTTTTATCAAATTTTCAAAAGTTCGATCGTGACACGCGTAAATTTATCAGTTTGATAGCTTAAGAAAATTATCAGATGGTTAATTTGTAAATATCAATGATACAGATGGTTTATATGTAATTTTATAATTATCCTTCATTTTATTTTGAAAGCCAATAATCGATTTATAACCCTTGACTTTAGCGCCTATCACACGTCAATCAATTCTTGTCATATTTCCTTAGATAACCCATGGAACATCAGCTTTTATTTGATTATATCTCCTATAAGAAGGCTTATTTACAAATGCAAATCTCCCATTAGGAAAATAAGAGGGAAAATAAAAATAAGCTAATAAAGAAAATAACAATAATAATAATAAAAAAGAGGCATTTATATACATACCACCTAGTTTTGAATATTTAATTTAAGTATTTTATTTTGTTCAATTGGCCGACTTTTAACTAACATATTATCAAGATATACTTCTCAACATTTTTAAGCCCAAAAAGCTTTATGTTGTAGCGGTATACAACCTTAGTGGTGACAAAGGTCGTCTTCTCTACGTGTGCATCTTTATCTGATGATAGGCTGACAATGCATCATGCAAGCTTAGTATTAAATGACTGACCGCTGAGTCCACCAACTAGTCAATCCTCAACAGGGGCTAGTTGTCCTTCAAGTAGGAGGTATTCAAGTTGGTGAAGTCCACACACATCTTTCACTTGTCATTTATCTTTCACACCATGACTACATTAGAAACTCATAATAGGAATTGCACATCTTGAATGTAGTTGGCCTCCTTCAATTTCAGCACCTCCTTATGGATTGGTTCATCTAGGGTCATTGTGAAGACCTGATCTTTTCCTTCTTTGCCAGGGTGGCTGGATTGACATTTAATTAATGACAAGCAATGTTGAATGGTATTCTTGGCATTTCCGTGACTGACCAAGCAAAGATGTCTCGATGCTCCCAGAGAATTTGAATTAGCAAATCCTTCCATCTCACAACAAAATTTTCACTTATTAGGAAAGATTTCTCGGGCACTACGTCAGTTGTAGAGATTTCAAGCGTAGTCTCGCTAGTCTCAAGACCCCTTTGCGTCTGTACTGTAGATTGAGCATCTTCTACTCCATACTTTCGACCGCTCTGAGATAGCAAGTCTAGGATTGCTCAAGGTTCCCCAGAATGGTGATGATCTCTCCATCACGTGGAAACTTTACCACAATGCGGAATGTTGAGACCGTGACTTTGAAGTTGTTGAGCAGGGGTCTATCGAAGATGACATTGTAAGTTGGCGACAAATATATCACCAAGAAGTCCTCCACATAGGTGAATTGTGTGTCATCTCCTGCCCGAGTGACTGCCCAAGTGTTATAACTCTTAAATCCTTCTTTATCTCACCATTGTAGCCTTGCAGTGGGCAGATCAGAGCTATATGTCAGTCAGTTGGGAGGTTCATCTTGTTGAACATTAATTTGAACAAAAAATTTACAAAGCTACAAATGCCGATTAAGATTCTACCATTCTAGTAGTTTTTAATCATTATTGTCATGATGATAGTTTCATTGTAAGGATTTCCTTTAGGGGGTAGGTCCGCATCAGTGAAAACGATTGGTGGATGGGTGTTGTGCTTCGGAGCAAAAACAACCGCACATAATTTTGTGAATCAAAGCTTCTTTTGATTGGCTCTCCAAGAACAATCTACACCTTCTCCAAAGATCACTTTTATCACCCAATGATGAGAATGGAAGTTGCCCAAACATGTTCGTCTGAGAATTCTCTGACTGGAGCTTATTTGTGCTTCTAGGTTGGTGCTCTTAACGTCACAAACTCCTTAAGTTTCCCAGCTCCTATCAAATCTTCAACTATGCTCTATAGATGTTTATATTCCTCTGTATTATGGACATGATATCTGTGGTAAGCACAATACTTCTTCGTATCCTAGTGAAAAACTAGGGCTGTCATAAGTGGTGCCTTCTTTAATTAATCTTTGTTTTGGATCGCCTCCACTAACTTCGCCATCGGGACTCTTAATGGAGTAGCCTTCGGTATGCCATGGTAATTTGATGGTTGCTCATAATAATGAGCCGAATGTTTTTCATGGTGTCAAACATGACCTCCTCGATTGTTACTTCAGTCAACCCCCGGGTTGTCTTGGTGTAGCCAGTTGTCTTTGTATCGAGATCGAGTGGAAGGACATGCATCTTCTATTAGTATCCACCCATCACTCTGGGTGCATCAAAATCACTATCTATCCATCGAAGCTGACCCAACACTATCCTAGTACGGGGAATCTCCAACTCTTTCTTCTAACAGGTGTGCTCTTCGACATTTGGGTGTTGGTTCTTTTCTCGAGAGTTCTACTCTATTCTTTGAGTCACTAGCTCTCACATGGACTCAAACATTTAACTTATCATTTAGTTCCTTAGTTTTTTTGTATTTGTTGCTGTACAAACTCTCGAATGCACTCCACATTGGTTGTGCCTCTTTGATAGTGTTCTCTCATTGTGCTACTCTTCTTATTGTTAGTATGGTTCATGCTCACCACACCTTTTAGGATATGAATCTGAGTTTGTCTGGGTGTGACACCAAAGGGATAAAGTGTTAAACATGTGAGAGAGAGAGAGAGAGAGAAGAGACGGAAAGTAGAGTGTAATAATGAACAATAAAAAGGGGTATAAATTAATCTTTTATTCAGGAAATGATTCTTTATTTATAGACAAAGGGGTATACTATATGAAGTTATATTGATGCTCAACTAAAATGGGGGTTGTACAGTCTATTCCAGACATTTCACTCTTGTGAGTCTAGGACTTTACTGCTCTACTTAGTCAACTGACCCTGAACAAACTTCGACGAGCTTTAACGGTTGATTGGATATGCCGTTCGGCTGTGATATTGAAGTCTTGGTGGATATTTAGGTGAGGAGCAAAATGACTAGATTTATGCTTTCGATCGGCTAAATCCGTAGATGTTGTTGGTCTTCAATCAATTAGGAGACGGTAGGATTAATCAGATTGGCTAGGTCCTGCATCGGTTCACTTGATTTAACTGTCGACCCTTGATCCCCGTCGAACAACTTTCGTCGGCAGAGCGAAGTTTCACCGTAATTTCATATGTAGCTTGCCTTACACAAAGTGGTCTTGAGGGGAATCACCGAATCACCAATACTAGTTCACACTTAATGATACTTGGTGGGGTTGCCGATCGCCCCTGATACAACCATAGGATTTGAGGGATTGACTCCTCCCACAAATTTGGCTATGTCGAAGTGTTAGGTTCGAATGGTCCTGTTGTTCTGTATCTCTGGGGTAGTTGTTCGACTTGTCATGTAGTGACGATTAGTTTTTGATTCATTTACTCGGTGTCTGGGCCTCTGAATTTTCTAATGATGGACCGTCCTCTAATATTTATAGTGCTCTTGTGATGATGCATTTATTATATACATATTTAGACGCGAGAAAAAGGTTTCATCAAGATCATGAGACTTTATTTTTGTTATTGTACTTTTCTTATTCAAATTAATTACTGTGATGCGCACTTTTGTGGTAATTTATATATTTGTATAAATGTAATTATTAATTAATAGACGTGTCGTCCCGTTTGCTCCGCTGCAAACGAAAACCGGACTTAATAGACGTGTCGTCCCGTTTGCTCCGCTGCAAAGGAAAAAAAAAAAGCGAAAACTGGACAGAAATTTTATAAATAATTCCTTCAACGGAAAGGAGGTTAACAGATCGCCGTCCATCGCACAATAATATGCGTGCCAAAACATTTTCAAACAACTGATAACTACGAAACGAGTGCACGTCCCACGTGGTACTCCGGCTGCATAAAGAAAAAACTAACGAGAAGAACGGTGACCAGCGCTTTCGCCTTCCCACTTGGTCCTCTCCCTCTCCATCACCTGACGCAGCTCCAGAGAAAGGAAAAATTATTCCATCTCCCTCTCCATCACCTGACGCAGCTCCAGAGAAAGAGAGGAGAAAGTGAGAAGGCTTCTCAGTACCCCCTTCCACCTTCTTCCACCCCCATTTTGTTAGATCCTCTGCTCTCCCGTGCTATCTTCGTCTCTTGCCTGTGTTCTCCCAAGGAAGAGCTACTGATAGAGTGCCGTGAAAGACTGTTGTGGTTTTCTCAGATCGGTCCCTTTTTTCTCTATCCGACTGTCAATTTTCGACGTTTCTTTCGGCACTGATGTGTTCATCTTTGCGGGCGTTTTCGGAGAAGTAGAGCAGCAGATTCGTTGGTTTTAAAAAGGTTTACGGTGTTTTTGAACTGAGCTGCGGCGAATTCGAACCATGATGGACACAACGAAGTTTACTGGAATTATCGCTGGAGGAGGGGGCGGTGGTGGTGGGGGTGGGAACTACTACGACATGGCGTACTATCGGAAGCTCGGCGAAGGGACCAACATGTCGGTGGACAGCATCCAGACCAGCACTGGTGGAGGGTCTGTGGCGATGTCGGTGGGGAACAGCAGCGTTGGATCGAGCGACTCACAGACCGGAATACTGCAACATAACGGCCTCCGGCGGACCGCCGCGGTTGCGGGTAGCTCAGTTGGTCACAGCGTTTTCCGCGCTGGTCGGGTCACCCATGCCCTAAACAGCGATGCACTCGCTCAGGCTTTGATGGACCCCGGTTTCCCCACGCAAGGCCTCAACAACTACGATGAATGGACTCTTGATCTCAGGCAGCTGAGTATGGGGGAGCCCTTCGCGCAAGGGGCTTTTGGTAAGCTCTACAGAGGAACTTATAATGGAGAAGACGTAGCCATTAAGCTGTTGGAGAAGCCGGAGAACGACCCTGAGAGAGCTCAGTTGATGGAGCAGCAGTTTGCACAGGAGGTGATGATGCTTGCTAATCTGAAGCATCCTAATGTGGTTAGGTTTATTGGGGCTTGCAGAAAGCAGATGGTTTGGTGCATTGTGACCGAGTATGCGAAGGGCGGATCAGTTCGACAGTTTCTAATGAAGAGGCAAAACCGTTCTGTGCCTCTGAAAATTGCAGTGAGGCAGGCATTAGATGTTGCCAGGGGAATGGCATATGTTCATGGACTGGGTTTCATCCACCGTGATTTAAAATCTGATAATCTTCTCATTTTTGGGGATAAATCGATCAAAATTGCTGACTTCGGTGTAGCTCGCATTGAAGTTCAGACAGAGGGGATGACACCAGAGACTGGGACCTACCGTTGGATGGCTCCGTAAGTAGATCAAATATTTGTCTTTTTGTTTATTTGAAGTTGTTTAAGCTGCTCTATAGTTATCATTTGTATTGCGTTTTTTCTTCACTTCATGAATCTTCTTTTATCCAAGCTGGTGTTTCGCATCAGTGCTAGTTAATTTTTTTTTTCTTTTAGTGCTTTACATAGTTGCTTAAATTCATAATGCTTTTATTCAGGCCGTGTGCCAGATCCTTACCTTTTGATCTTTAATTTCTGTTTTTCAGTCCATTTTCTTAAACCATTTTACACCAACTTTGTGCTGCAGCATGCATCATTAGTGCAACAACAAATCATAAAAAAAAAAAACTCAAGCCTTTATCCCATTAAGTGGGGTCGGCTACATGAATTTTTCTTCTTTATTGCATCCTATTGAGTGTCATATTTTCATTTAATCCTAAAAGATTAAGATCAAAATGATTTATGTCATGATTTCTTGACAACTTTTACGTTGATTGTCGACCACCTAACGCAACTCTCCACTTTTCTAATCATTAATGCATTCAACAAAAAATGAACATTGAAAATTAGTGATTTTCTTAAGATAAGACACATTATAATTACATGTTTCTTCATTGTGGCAATCTATCATCTCTGCGAATTCCTCGTCCCTTACGATTTTCAAATGTGGCGCTTTGAGTGGGATTCTTATTCTTAACCGCTTGTTGATCCGTTAAGCTTTGGAAAGATTTTATCATTTGGTTTTTATATTTTTCTTTTTAGACTATAATTGTTTGGGAATGCTCATTTGCACTGCCTATCATGTCTGTGAGCTTAAAACAAATGTTTTTTCTTATGGGAAAGAGCGTTTATACCATCTTCCCGTTTTTTATATTTTCCAAATGAATGATTCAAAGCAATACTCTCAATAGCATAAACAAGAATTTTGGACATTCTATATAGTTTCCAATTTTATATTTTTCATCACTATTACTAAAGATGTGCATGATGAAGTATTAACTAGTAATATTATTATTTGTGAAGTGAGCATAATATCACGGACAAAAAGTCCCACATCAGGTAGGTGTAGGGCCAAAGAGCAGTATTTCAGTCCTGGGCTGCTTACTTTTAGGATGTGACAAGTGGTATCAGAGCAGATTGCTGCCTGCCAGGTGTGTGGACTCTCCACGGTCCAGTGAGACTCTCAGAGGAGCCGATCTGTGACGAGGGCGTCACGTGATTGTGTGGAGGAGAATGTCACGGACAAAAAATCCCACATCGGCTAGGTGTAGGGCCGAAGAACAGTATTTAAGTCCTAGGCTACCCACCACCCCTAAGAGATCTTTTGGGAGGTGACAATAAGGTTTTTTTCTTTAGTAGGACTACAACAATGATCAATATTAATTTGGTAATTTTTTAGTTGTTTATGAAGATAATTAAGAAAAATGCTCAAAATGAGGTGATCAAGTGTATGCTTTTCAGAAATATATAGTTCTAATGGACAATTTTTCTGGGTTTGATATATAGAATTTTCATTACAATTATAGCAAGATAAAGTATCACGATGCACCCATTAGGTGAAACTCCCTCCATAGTATGGTCTATGTAGAAGTTGATGTACATAGCTCTACACAAGTATTTATAGAGGCTAAAAAAAAATTGTGTTTGACGTAATTATCTTGGATCCCTTGTGCAAAAACATATTGTTATAGATGATGATATAGTTTGTAGAGTTAAAATTGGATAATTGAACAAGAGAACTGTCTTAGAGTATTATGCAATAGTTTGATATCATGTAGGTCTAACGGTTATATTAAAATATTTACTAGTTTGGATTTGTTGTATGGATATGAGTTTTGAACAACAAAAAATTGCTAATCTGTCAGTTGGCATTGTAAAAATATGAATGTTAAGATGTATTTGTGGCAAAATTAGGATGGAAAGATTTAGGAATAATAAGTTATTACGATGGTGGGATGAGCGTTTGCAGAAGATAGCAAATAGAAAATAGGCTTAAGTTGTTTAAACATATAGTAGGAATGATATGAAGTACACTCTTAAAATGCATGGATAAAATAAGTGTTAAAGTTTTGACCAAAAAAATAGAAATGAGAATATTAAAAGTAAAATGATTAGAAGTGTAAAAAGATACTTGTAGAGTAAGCTTAACCCTCATGCAACATTGGCAAGCGTGATTGCAAATGAGAATTATGAAGCTGTCGCCAAATAGTTGGGATATTGCTGACGATGATGATAATGATATTGTTTTATCTTCTTTCACTTTCCCATACAGGTTCATGCCAGTTTGTTGGTGGCATGTACATATGAGTGTTTTTTAAACCAGAATGCTTACATGTATGCATGTTTTCTGGTTTTTGGGGGCAAAAGATCAATTCAACTTTAATTGAGTTTCAATTGACATTTTTTTTACAGTTTATTTTCTTTATGCTTATTATATATGCAAAGCGCTATGTCAGAATTTTAAGTATTAATTATAATCACAGAGCTTGTGAACTCCGAACAAAATTCAAATCTAAAAATTTTTTGACTCTTCTCAACCTTAAATTTTGATTTTGAGTTGCTCGGATTAGGGATAATTTCAGCGCCTAGTCTTTCAATTCTGAAATTGGCAGATGCTGCATTTGGGAAGCTGCATGCCTGCCAACCAAATTTGCATGATTCAATGATTTTCAGAAATTCATGCTTTGAAATTACAGCCCTCTGAACTTAGAATGGCATATTTTTGTTTTTTAAATTCGTATAAGAAGCTTTATTCAAAGTGGCTTGATGGCATATTTTTTCATTGCTTCAAATTAGAGGAGTTCACGAAACAAGGCCTTTATTAAATGCTAGCCTAATGTATATTTAAATGTGTATTTGCAACACTCAAATTTCGAGAAATTAGATAAGTTTGACACAATTGAAAAGTATCCTAAAATTTTTCTTCTCTCGGAATTTGATCAAAATAATTTTATTAAATTCTATGCATGAAATCAGTTAATTCCATATAAAGTACCAGATATAAATAATGAATGAATTGGGATATATAAATTGTTGAAGTTATAAGCTCAATTAATTTAATTAAACTTTAATTAAATCCTTATTTTTCTCCCCAATCACTTTGTTACTGTAGCCCAACGCCTCTCATGCCATTTATTTCATTTCTTTCATTCGCTTAGGGCGTGAGCTTCACATTGCTTGCTTCCTCTTCTGATTTCCCTTTTCCTTGCTCCCCGTTCAATTCTCCCTGTTCGGTTCACACAGCAGAAGTGTTATTTTGACCCCCAAATTAATGAACTAAGGTAAAAGGACACTTTTGTAATGTGGTACCGCTCACCTACCACATCTCACCTACCGTTCACCTACCGTTCACCTACCTCCCACCTGCCTCCCAT